ACTATACTTATGGCAAAACTTTCAAAAGTGCCTAAGGTTCATTTTGAAAAATGACAAAATTCTCCAAGATCCCAAGTCCCACTAAAAGCTGGTGGGGCTCAGGCTGCCAAATACCCAAACTGACGGCTACCCCACACCTACTCAGTTCACGGCTCAGCAGCACGGGCACAGCACCGGGTGCGAACGTGCCCAGACTGGGGCACAGGCTGGGCAGTCCTCATGGGCCATACCACTGACTGATCTCAGTTTGGCAAGATCCTTGGCTTCTCCACACTGCATTCTACTTTCTGGGGCATTTCTGAAGGAAGGAAGACAGACAGGACCAGAATTTCAGAAAAAGTTTTGTATCTAAAAAGCAGACAGAAATTTAGGAGAACTTTCTTAGGAAAACAAATGAACTTAATGTCCAGTATGGAAAGCATACACAGGGAGTTGGGTACAGAATTTACTTAGATGCCAAATGGTACTTTTAAAAGCATCTATATGAACCTTTACAGATTTAACTTCCCTCCAAATTCAGACCATCAGGATCTTAAGAACTTCTAACAGTAGTACACTAATGGTAAAAGTTCCAAATGCATCCACTCAAAAGGTCCTGAGCAATCACAATCTTGGATTTTAACTTGATGATGATGCAGAGAGATGTTCACACATGATGTCAGGGTAAAAACTGATGAACAACTATCCTTGCATTGTTAACAAATGCATTCTCTCGCCAGCCCTGGGAACCATTTACTGCCAAAATGTGACTGCCATTTGCTATGAGAGCCAGCACCCCGCGTGAAGTCACAGGGGAGGCCATTGGTGACACACAGCCACTTCCCCAGCTTTCTGTAAAGGTTTTCACTCACAGAGGAAGGGAGTTCAGAATGCTGCCAAGAGCACAGTAGAATCCCTTTTTCCTAGTAGATTCCTGCAACTCACTTCGGATGCATGGCTTGCAGTATTGCATCAAACACCATCTTTCTACTGGAGCAGGCAGCTGATTTCCAGAGATGAGTGCCAACTGTACATTAGCTCAAAACAAATCAAGAAATGCCAGGTTCCCTCAAGAATTAGAGTCTAAATAGTAAATTATGGCCCTTTGAACATGGTGGAATATTACTTTTAGACACAGGCATTTTTGGGTTCTTGGAAACCAAAGTCTCAGGCTCCTCCTAAAAGAAAAGGTAATAAAATAAATAGTTTGGGGCTTTCACACTCTCTACTTCCATGTGTTCCTTCTGCCACATAAGCATGAGAGAAGTTATATTCCATGGTAAACAGCATGTGATGATGAAGCAAACTGGGAATATGGGGACAAAAGGGTTTATATGTGATTGCTATGTGACGGGCAGAGTGACCTCCTCACTACACTGCGAAGCAGCAAGTACTGCAAAAAGCCTCCTGTTTAAGGGAACAGCAAACTTCTCCTAGACTAGAAGGGAACAGGATCAGCCGCCAAGTGACATTACAGTGGAGAAAACAAAATTCCAATCTGAAAAAATAGTTCAATCCTTCTCTCCCTGTTTTTAAAGAACTGAAAACTAAAACATCTTTTTTTTTTACTGCAAAACACTGCTTAAATGGGGCTTGCTTTTTCCAGTATTTAACAAACCTCTTTGCACACTGTACGTACCAGAAACCCATATCAACATTGTAAACATCCCACCTGAAAGCTGAGCACTTCGCTGACAGAATACAATTCTTTTTTTCTTTTTTTTTTTCTTTTTCCAAAAATATTGCACAGGCTGTGGTTTATTTAGGGTTTGCAACACCAAAGGACTGCACAAAGCGGAAAACCATCAAGGTCTAGCCTCCAAAAGGTTGCTGAAACTACAGGTCAGAAAGTTTTGCCTCCTTTGGACTAAAAACTATTATAAACCCCCCTAAAAAATTACCTGCTTCATTATCTACTAAAAAACCCCAAAGCAAAAAAAATGATATTCACATGTTTGATATAAAACCTCTCTGTATTTTATTTTGTGTTATATTTAAGCCAACCTGGGAAATTTCCTGGTCATTGCCTGCTAGAAATCCACTGCAAAGACTGAAAATCAGGCTCATAAGGAGTGGACACCTGCAGAAACTGGCTTCTATTAGTAACTGTTTGGAGTGCAAAAAAAAGTCACCTCTTACCAAGTTAACCAATCCCAGCTACTTAAGCTTCTTCACTGGTATTCCTCCCAGTTTGGATAAAATCAACAATCATTCTGATTTTAAGCCTGTCAGCTACTTCTTCACTGTTAAAGACCTGAGTTAATCAAACTGCACCCACAAACAGGCCTGTGTAGCAATGCAGCGACAATTTGTGACAGCTGCATTGGCACTATAGAAAGAAAGCTTAACAAACTAAATTTTACCTAATGGCAACCAATGACGACTAGGAAAAACACAGTAATTCCATTTCAGCACATTTTTAGGATAATTTTTCTTGGTTCAACCCTGTGTATGCCTGCTTAGAGGATTATGTGGAACTCCACTTGCAGGATTTGGCCTCATTCTTGAATGCCTCTTGGCAATTTTACCAACTGAGCACCCACTGACACTTTCTGCAATAACTTCTTTTTTTCTTCTTCTAGCAAAGGCAATATAAAAATCAATATATAAAACCCAGTCCCAGTGCTCACGCACTGGAAATGGAGAAAAAATTGCTTGAAGATGTGATATTTTAAAGCATCTCTGTAAGTTTAATTTTTAAAGGACAGAATGAGGCATATTAAATTCTTCTCATACTATAAGGTATGCATATCACTTGTACAAGAAAACCCCAAATAAAATGATTAATCAAAGTGACTGAAGAGGTATGAAAACAGTGCAAGCTGGAATCGGTAGAGACTTGCTGAGATCTTGGAGACATCTTTTTTTCTTTTGAATGAATTCTGCTATATCCTTTCCCTTTAAAATAATAATGCAATTTGGATCTTTGCTTCCCTGATTTCATTGAAAAACACTAAATATTTCTGCTGATAAGAGCATTCAGAGCCATGCTCTAGAGTCACTCTGTTGAAAGGCAAATGCCTTCTCTACTAGTAAGAGTAGGATGGGACAACATCAGGCAAATGCAACCTGTAAGAAATGAAAATCCCATTTTCCAGCAAAAGCTCACTCTAACGGAAATGCAAAGCAAAAAGAAACTCTGAAGTGATAACACACATGCTGATTGGCTTTGATAGAGAATGTTTTCCAACATTTTTGGGGAGGTATCAATAGGATCACGAAATTCGGTGAATGCGTAACAATAGCAAAAAGTGATGGACGCAATATCAGAAATTTAATACAGAAAGGACTTCTCCTACAAACTCTTCCTTTCACAAGCATTCTTACTCACACAAGCAATCCTCTTCTTGGCAAGGGGCTGCAGGATCAAAGTATAAAAAGCATACATAGTCAAATGATTTTTGAGAGATACTGAACTTTATACATATAATTCTTTTTGTGGGAACAAAACTCTAAATTGTGTGGTACTGGTTAGTGCTGCCAGTCCTGAAGAGCATTAATATTTTAAAGCCTTGATCCTGTAGACCACTGGCTTCCCAGAAGGGTCTATACAAATTACTCAAGACTTTATTTGTTGGGTTTGGAAATGGCTACACTGTATAAAAATGTTTTTGTATTTATTTTTTAAAAAATTAGCTTTACAAAAAAACTCTTCCCTTTTTTTCTTTTTCTTTTTTTTTCTTAAAGATATCATTATCTACAGGAACCCATAAAAATTTTTCCATATTTACATCTAGATAACTAATCATTGACAAATATAATATCGTGAAATAAAATATTGAAAGTGAATATCCAACCTTTTAAATAGACATTTGGCTCACAGCATAAACAACAGAGAAAACAAATAATCAGAACAAAAAAAAAAGATCTGCTCTTCTTACAGGCCCGATCTTTTCCTTTCTCTTAAAAAAAAAGAAAAAAGAAAAAAGAAAAAAAAGTATATTGGTGGGATCAAACACGCTGCTTCTAAGGAGAATGCCAGCAACAAACTGCTCCCATCCAGCACCTCACGCTGAAAAACCAGGTTCTCTGAAGCTCATGCGAGTGGTTGCTGAGACACACGAGTGTCCGGCCGATGCAGGACTGACACCTGTCCCCCACGCTGCTCCTAATGCATCGTTTACCTTTTATTCTGGGGAAGGGCATGGCCCCCACACTCCCCTTCTTTTAGTCTCAGGAGACGTAGTTCAGCGTCGTTCTTAAATGATATATTTGGCCACGGACGCACAGAGGCACAAGGTTAGGGTAGGAAGATGACAGCGTGCCTCTGGTTTCCGAGCACGTGCACACATTTGCTCTCTGCTCTCTCCTGCCCAAGCACACACACTGCCCCACGCAGCCATTCACGCACTCAGAAGTATACAGAGGGCCAGGCCCTCTCAAGGGGAACCAGCGTGCCACAAAGTCCCTCGTAGCCCCCTTTGGAAAATAAATTTCCTGGCACATCCCTTTTGCTAGCAGTTTGGGAAGTGCCGAGGAGGAGGAGGAGGAGGAAGAGGAGGAGGCGGAGGAGCCCACACAGCCGGGGGGGGCCAGGCCAGCAGCCCGGGCCACCCCGGGGCCAGTCGAACGGCTGGGG